ATTGTTGTGCAGCCAGATATTGTTGTGTAACCAGATATTGTTGTGTATCCAGATATTGTTGTGTATCCAGATATTGTTGTGTATCCAGATATTGTTGTGTAGCGAGATATTGTAGTGTAGCCAGATATTGTTGTACAACCAGATATTGTTGTGTAGCCAGTTATTGTTGTACAACCAGATATTGTTGTGTAGCCAGATATTGTTGTACAACCAGATATTGTTGTGTAGCCAGATATTGTTGTACAACCAGATATTGTTGTGTATCCAGATATTGTTGTACAACCAGATATTGTTGTGTAGCCAGATATTGTTGTATAGCCAGATATTGTTGTGTAGCCAGATATTGTTGTACAACCAGATATTGTTGTGTAGCCAGATATTGTTGTACAACCAGATATTGTTGTATAGCCAGATATTGTTGTACAACCAGATATTGTTGTGTAGCCAGATATTGTTGTACAACCAGATATTGTTGTGTAGCCAGATATTGTTGTGTAGCAAGATATTGTTGTACAACCAGATATTGTTGTGTAGCCAGATATTGTTGTATAGCCAGATATTGTTGTGTAGCCAGATATTGTTGTACAACCAGATGTTGTTGTATAGCCAGATATTGTTGTGTAGCCAGATATTGTTGTGTAGCCAGATATTGTTGTGTAGCCAGATATTGTTGTGTATCCAGATATTGTTTTACAACCAGATATTGTTGTGTAGCCAGATATTGTTGTACAACCAGATATTGTTGTGTAGCCAGATATTGTTGTGTAGCCAGATATTGTTGTGTAGCCAGATATTGTTGTACAACCAGATATTGTTGTGTAGCCAGATATTGTTGTACAACCAGATATTGTTGTGTTTCCAGTTATTGTTGTACAACCAGATATTGCTGTGTAGCCAGATATTGTTGTGTATCCAGATATTGTTGTGTATCCAGATATTGTTGTGTATCCAGATATTGTTGTGTAGCGAGATATTGTTGTGTTGCCAGATATTGTTGTGTATCCAGATATTGTTGTACAACCAGATATTGTTGTGTAGCCAGATATTTTTGTACAACCAGATATTGTTGTGTATCCAGCAGATATTGTTGTGTATCCAGCAGATATTGTTGTGTATCCAGATATTGTTGTGAAGCCAGATATTGTTGTTTAGCCATATAGTGTTGTGTAGCCAGATATAAACTCATTAAACTATTTCTGCGAATAACGGTAACGGTACTTCCGTCTTTAGTTATGTAAATACTGTCCACTGTATATAGGTGACATTTTTGTTTCAAGTCAAGTATTAATCAAATGGAGGGTATCAGAGAAGTGTCGTTCGACAGCATGCCACTGGCGCATACGGCCGGATTGCCAACAGAAGCGCGCGTAAAATGATATCACTTCCCAGATCGGCATCATTATACTCTGTGCCCTGGAGGACGATGCCTTGTGACGTCATACGTCTATCCTCCCCATTCTGTTGATCTGGGGACAAGAGACCCCAATGCCACCCCCAGCTGGTGGGGCTGGATACCGTTCCATTTCAGTCTGTTCTTCAGAGTATCCTAAGCCTCAGTTTGGTCCTTCCCCGCCTGCACGAGCCCTCCTTGAGCTCTCCATACTGAGGTTGTCTGAGTTTGTGGTTGTGGTCCATTCTGATGACAGTCCAGCTGAGCCTACAGCAACATTGACCGGTGCCTGTTTAGCCAGCTCTTTCCAACACTTCGCCATTCGTGGGTCTGTGCCAGCAAATGAACATGACCATGCACAGAATGAGTGAGTGGGTTTTGTTTTACGCCGCACTCAGCAATACTCGAGCTGTATGGCAGCGGTCTGTAAATAATCGAGTCCGGACCAGACAATCCAGTGATCAACAACAATGGGCATCGATCTACGGAATGGGGATACGATGACGCGTGACAACCAAGTCAGAGAACCTGACCACTCGATCCCGTTAGTCGCCTCTTACGGCAAGCATGGATTACTAAAGATCAATTATAACCCGGGTCTTCACGGTTCAACCATACACAGAAACCTTGGGTGTGTGTATGACAGAGAGAGAGAGTGTGCGTGTGTGTGCGTGTGTGTGTGTGTGAGTGAGTGAGGGAGAGAGAGATTACAGCACTAAAAATCTTTACAAACATGCTTTGGGGGTGTTGTGTATGGTGTGTGTGTGTGTACATATATATGTGTGTGTAACTCTGTGTGTGTGTGTGTGTGTGTATCTCACTCCGTGTGTGTGTGTGTGTGTGTGTGTGTGTGTGTGTGTGTGTGTGTGCGAATGTGTGTGCGAGTACACTGGAGTTTTGGACACTTACAAATGGAGCTGTTATTCCAAAGGTAGAAGTACTGTTGTAGATCAGAAGATGTACACAAAAAAGCATCCTAAAATATAACATTAGGCTCTTGCGCCATCTGGCTGATACACTGACGTACACACAGACGTTTTGCTTGACCTAAACAACGTCCCACCTTACAAGGATCGTAACATATAATTTACGATGCTTTTGAAACGAAGACATTTCCCACGATAACAGCATTGATTATATTGACTTTAACATGATCATGCTTTTACTGATGTAAATTGATTCTTTGTCTTCAATCTGTGCGACTGCATTCATGTGGAACTGAGCTATCCATCCTGTTAACGTGGACAGAACAGATTAAAGTATTATGTAGAGAAAAACTGTCAGGTACAGCTTAATTAACAGAGATGAAAGACATCAGCTAAATGAAGCTGATTTCCCTAAATTCCCTGTTGTATGTTTCAGGTAATGTCAATTACCAACATCCCAGACAATCAATATGGCAGTACTGACTCCCACTCATGCCTTTTCTCTACTGACTTCATGCGTTTCATGCTCAGTCGCTCCTCTGCACTCGGACAATGCGGTGTTCGGGGCAGTGTTTGTATTTATACACCTGGCTTCCGGGTAGGCACCGCTGACGCGTGGAGAGACATCGTGTTCATCATCAACTGATTCTCTGTTATGTTCATTGATATATATGTCTCTGTCTTAATTTGCCACAATAGATAACTCATCAGGTGACTTATCAAACATTCATGATCAGCATCAGAGAACATCAGATAATGATGATGGTAAACATTTTCGGCGTACGATGACATGTGTTTGTAACACTCGATGAAATCTCATACGGCAGTAAATGTGCGTTTTACAACGTGTAAATGGGGTCTTGCAGCAGTACATATACCTTTGATAGCGTATATAAGTGCATCATACACCAGTAAATGTGCGTTTTACAACGTGTAAATGGGGGTCTTGCAACAGTACATATACCTTTGATAGCGTTTATAAGTGCATCGTACGGCAGGAAATGTGCGTTTTACAACGTGTAAATGGGGGTCTTGCAGCAGTACATATACCTTTAATGGCGTTATATAAGTGCATCGTACGGCAGGAAATGTGTGTTTTACAACGTGTAAATGGGGGTCTTGCAGCAGTACATATACCTTTGATGGCGTATATAAGTGCATCATACAGCAGTAAATGTGCGTTTTACAACGTGCAAATGGGGATCTTGCAACAGTACATATACCTTTGATAGCGTATATAAGTGCATCATACAGCAGTAAATGTGCGTTTTACAACGTGTAAATGGGGATCTTGCAACAGTACACATACCTTAGATAGCGTTTATAAGTGCGGCAGTAAATGTGCGTTTTACAACGTGTAAATGGGGGTCTTGCAGCAGTACACATACCTTAGATAGCGTTTATAAGTGCATCGTACAGCAGTAAATGTGCGTTTTACAACGTGTAAATGGGGTCTTCCAGAGGTATATATACTTCCATGATGTCGTAAAGTGCGTCGTGCAGTAATGAATGCACCTTGCATGTTAAATCAATATCACGTTTACGTCTTGCAGCAGCACATATAGATTTCTACCTCTCATTACGTTGAATATGCAATTTGTCACATTACATCAACATATCCTTTAACTTAGCTGACAGTAGAACTTTAAGTGTGGTTTACGGATTTCCTTCTCCCATATTTGTGGAGAATATACAGATCATACGAACTAATTCAACCAATTTTTAAAATAAAATAATGTCGATAATACTTGAAAACAATAAATGATAAGTAATTCTCTTTTGCTTTTATGGGGGATGTGACATGACATTCTCTTTTCCTGGGAGCAGAGTAACTCGCATTTCGTGGTGTGCTAGTGACGTTAGTTCCAGAATGTAACGTATTTGGGACGGCAAATTAACCTCTTGGAACTGTATTACTTGTCATTACTTCCTCGCGACATACAGAACAAATATGGAGCTTTATACCTCAAGTTGTTTCGGAGATATAATTATAACATATAACATCTGTGCTTTAAGATGTAGAAGGCACCAAAACGTAATCACTGTGGCTTAAATGTCACGTTTGAATGAACATTAACAGGACATGGAGAATGTTAATTCACTGTAACTATGTCTTCAATTCACACCTTCTAGTCCTAAGTTTAATACGGATGCTCCAGAGACAACTGTCTGAATGTTTTGCATGACAATGTCACTAAAGTTTTACGTTTTAATAGTTTAAAAAATTCATACATTTCATATCACAACAGTAGTGTTTGTGATCTTAGTGGAGATATTAAACTAACCTGAAAAATATGCAATCGAAACAATTTGTTTTTAATGACTTAAAATTACAATTGACAGCCATCACAAAATGAATGGTTATGTCCACAAACAATTAGTCTAGTCGTCTGTTTTGTGTTCGATGATCTGTCAATAATTGAGTCTGGATGATGAATAAGAGTTTCGATTGACTGTATTTTTGCATTTATGTTAATGCACTAGTACACGGTGATTGGTCATATTCCACTGTAGTAATTTATAGACCCATTCCTTTCCACCCTGTAACCTTCGTTTGTGAAGCATGAAAGAACATAATATATAAGGCTCAGAAGAGCAGAACACACAGAACAACTCTGGACTCTGCGAAAGGAGCTGGAAGGCATGGTAATAAAAGTAGTATATCACAAAGGTCCTTGGGCATAATGTCACAATCTCGAAATATGACAGCAACGTCGGATCAGAAAAGCGAGGAAAAGATGCGTCCCGCCTTTGCGGACTCAATAAGCATGCAGGGTCTTCAACCCATCCTCGACCCGTCCTCGGGGTTGTGCAGAAAGTCACTGTGGGTGACAGTTCTTTTATTTGCTCTCTGTTTCACCACCTACAACATCTACAAACAGATGATTCTCTACTTCAGCAGGCCTATCAGTGTCAATGTGGATATTGTCACAGGGAACATCTTACCTTTTCCAACTGTCACATTGTGCAATATGAACTTCATAAAGTGGACAGAGGCGTTCGAAACTGGATCAGACACGATTATTGAAATCATGAAACCCTTTGGCTTTCAAAAAAAAATAGCTCACCTCCTTTCGACGGGTTGGACTTCACACCGTACCATCAGCCGGGCTTGTGGGAAGCGTTCTACTCGGTCAACGGGCACAAACCAAATGACACCATCAAACAGGCAAGTAATAAAACGTACACTTGTTAAATCAGATATATTCTGTTTGATCGGCATTTTAGAAGTTGATAAATAAAAAGAAAGGCATGATACATTATGGACATCTTCTGTATTATATCATGATACAACGTTTCGGTTTAGCTTCTGATACCGTTGACACTCTTGCTTGACAGCGGTATGAGAACCTACACCGAAACGTCGCATCAAAGTAATATAACAAATATAAATATAACAAAGAAGCTGCCATCCAAAAAAGTATCACATCTTTGTTATAAAGTTAGATATGTACCCAAACATAGATACATTTGGTTCCAAACTCGTCAGTGAATCCTATCTTCTCACTACGCATTTTCGTTCAGCGTTTCATCCTAAGTGGAAACGTGCCTGGACAAAGGTTTCCTGCTTCTAAAATCAATTCATCCGAACATACCTTGCATCCTTTGGTACAGAAACTGTCAAGTTTAACGAAAATTGTATTATCCCTGTTTTAGTTATACATTTATATTATATTCATATGCAAATAAGCCATAGTGCCACTTTGTATTTATCAAAATATGCATGTTCTCTATATCATTTTGTATGATTTATGAGAATACAAATCCTGATTCCTGATTCCATAATCATGGTCACCTCCCAGCAATCATGGGCACGAACTCTTTTCATGCTGATTTCCCAAGCCAACTCATTTTCTTTCAAGACTGTTATAGATTATGGAAATTGTGAATCGGGGATGGACGGGTGGGCATATAATGTGTTAGATAATATATGTATAATATACATTTTATTGTAAAATTTACAAATGTTTAAATTCATCCTATCTCATGCTGTGCATTTATTCTACAGTTGGAGGGTAGGGCTAAACTTCCTAGACCATAATAGCAACAACCGTAGGATATACACGAGGAAGCTGTGGCTTAACAGTGATATCAATCCTAATAAAGTATTATGTAAAGCACCATAACACTAAGCTGGTGCATATGAATGAAACATTCCCGAAGAGCGTTATGACCCTGATCCGTGAACACTGGAAGACTCATGAAGTCTTGTAAAACATGTGTAACATCTACATGGTGAGTGAGTGTGTGAATGAAAGTAGTTTTACGCCGCGTTTTGCTTTATTCAAGCCATATCAGCAGGGCGACAGTAGAAGTGGGTGTAACATGTGCCTAAATAATTAGGCATAATCGCAACGTGCACCACCATCCCCCCAAAAAATTTTATATAAAAAAAAAAATAAAATAAAATAAAATAAAATAAAATAAAATAAAATAAAATAAAATAAATAAATAAATAAATAAATAAATAAATAAATAAATAAATAAATAAATAAATAAATAAATAAATAAATAAATAAATAAATAAATGATAATTAAATAAATGAAAAAACAACAACAAAAAAGCAATATAGAACAAACTTTATGGATAACAATTTCTTTTTATTCGTGAGTGCGACGTTTCGATACAGATTCTTGTACCGTTGTCAAGCATAATGCAAAAAAAAGCAAAAAACAAACACATTTGCAGTCCCATCATAGCCGGAGTCAAGGAGCAATTGCTTAGGTGAGCCATTTTAGAGGCGACAGTGCAGGTTTGATAAGGGCTGGCTGCGACCAGAGCAGGCGGGATAGCAAGCAAGTGGGATCGAAGGATGACCGAACAGATCCAAATCAAATCTTGGTAAGAGACACTTCCATAAGATCAGTCGTGTAAAGCGAAATGAACACCCGAGATGGTTGAAGGGGGTTCACTGTGTCATGCTAGATCAAACAAAGACAAGGACACAAAGATATGTCATTTGACGTCAAAGATGGGATGGTAAACGGTTAACCAAGGAGTTGATTTTATAAATCACCACCATAATATATCCACGGGGCTGTCCATGAAGAAGAGGTCGGTTCAGTGGTGACCGTGTCTACAGAACTACAGAAAGAGCTAAACTCCGCCTTCTGAATACCCTCTGGTGGAAGGAACTGGACGTTCTCAGTGCCAGCCAGCGAGGGTGTTGAAGCAAGGAATGGATCACTGCCATCATCAAGCGTAAATATAGGAAGCTTTTGATCTTGGACCATCTTAGGGTTTGATTAGTCAGTCGATCACTCAGACTTCTTAACGAGTCTTTTAGGACTTCGTGGATTTATCCATCTTCTTCGCTCCACGCGTACGATCGTGTACGCACTTGTGGTGATAGAGGGTGAGGAACTACATCGACAATCGGAACACTCGTCTGGCAAACATCGAAGGCTGGCATGAAGATTGCATGATGCAAATTGCCAAAGGCCGATGACACGCGAGCCGAGGTAGATTGGTAACATTGTAGATGGAAACAAAAAAAGTATTCTCTGCAAAAACATAAAACGCAAAAGTGATTTTCAGATGTATACTTCGTGTTTATATAGATAGTGAATAGATCACAATGCATTGATAATAACAGAAATCATTCCCACTGACCTAGGTTCATCAAAGCACAATCGGATGTCAATGTGAAGGTCATCTCTTCAATATCTTGTATGGCCCCAGTGAGTCTGCCTGGCCTTATTGTCCCATGGAACCAACTAGATCACAAATTGTGACCTGGGTAATGCTTACCCACTCTTCCTGCAATGCTTGTGCCAACTGTTTGAGGTTCTGTGGCTGTTGCTGACATGATCGCAGACTTTAATCAAGAGCATCCCATAAATGTTTGCTAGGGTTTAGATCTGACGATCAGCGTGAGGTCGGATGTTGTCCTGTTGAAGAATGACGTTTACTTGTTTCATAATGGGAGGGAAAACGGCCGGGGCATCTGTGTACGGTTAAGTCGTTAAACTGACCTGGAGGTGCGCCAAAATTGTTCTGCAGGAATGGGAGATTTCGACCCACATCATTACACTTTCAGCACCAAACCTGTCAACTTCCTGTATATCGTTTTGAGGATAGCATTCCCAACGACGTGTCTGACCACGATTTCTTCAATATGGACGGAGAAGCAAAATACGTGACTCCTCAATAAACCAAACACGTCTTCATAGATGGTTTGGTCATACTTGGCTGATCAGTCAGAATGACGCCTCGAATTGGTCGTCTCGGGCAAATACCTGCGGCGCGTTGACGGTTCCTTCACCACTAAGTGTGTTTTCAGGTGACCGGACACGGTCTCAATGGACAACAGTAGTGGTGAAACTAAGACTTTTGGTCCAGTTAGTCCCATGTTAAGTCAATGGGAGTTTTCTCAACCTCAAAGTAGAGATGCGCATGGCGCTACCGGCGTGACGTCAACGCGTCTTTCATGACGTCACGCGGTCGAATGCCTCTGACTGGGTAGAATTATAATCGAAAACCAATCGCTCCGACGCCCTTTCAGCCCCCTCAGCCACGCACCGTTTTGCACCACATAACTATCATTTAAAGTATTAATTATTATCTTAGACTCATACGTCGTTTCTGTATAGTTTAACAAACATGGGAACTGTAAAATCGTTAACTTTAATTTCTATTATTGAAACAGAACAGGCACATGTTTGGAATAACTGATCGATACGTGTGTGTCCCGTTCCCTTTGTTTTATCCACCATGGAAAGGGTAATTATCTGTTCCAAACAAACAACCAGCTGCAATGAAATGGAAATGATTTTGTTTGCAATGCTCTTCCATTCTTCTGTTTTCCAACTCGTGTCATCTATTTCTTTTTGAAGTCCATTGATCAATGAACAGATCATGTTTTAATGCATGTGTCTCGTCAGCTAATACAATGCAAAAAACTAACATCGTACAAGCAAACAGAGCTTTCTGATTAAATGTCGTTATTGCAATATTTTAGCGGAGTGGTAGCACAGTGGGTAATGCGTGTGCTCGCCGGGGTTTGATTCCCAACATGAGACAGTGTCTCGTGCCCACTTCTGGTTCTGAAAGCCCAACTATACTCTTAAAAACAGTAGGGGAACCTGAACTTTCAATTTGGAACCTGAACTTTCAATTTGGATAGGAAGTATAACTTTTCAAAGACAGACATCTTATGAGAGCAGCAGCATTTCTCTTCATCACCACCCGTAAACACAACGCAGCAGCCCCATACACATGCATGGAGTGTCATTCTTGATTTCGACGGTTTTCAAGAAGGTTGATAAATAATTTTGCAATCACTTAAAATCACACAGTTGTTAGTGTTTGTTGCTAGCCGGGTTTTGTTTTTGTTGGAAAACGAAAATCGTACACATGCAAATTTCACGTAATATACCAAATTGAATCATCTTTCAAGAGCGATTACTGTACAAACAACTATGGTCATAAGGAAGTGCAAGTGGTGATGCACTCTCAAAACATTCATTATGATCATATCAACATTGATTGACTCCGATATATCTCCCATATTTTTCAATCGTTAATTAAAAATAAAGTTCCTCTACTTTTCTATAAGAGTGGATCTTTCCAACTGTACAAGATCGGACACGGGCGTCACGATACTTCTCAGTTTAGTTGCCTTTCATTTTGTTCACAGTCTAGATAACACACACACACACACACACACACACACACACACACACACACACACACACATTCTTGGACACACAATTTCCATGCTGATACCATAATCCATAATCCAAGGATTTATATACCAGTTCTATTATGTTGAATTCACTGAACCTATTCGCTTCAACAGATTCGTGTTGCTGAACGATGCTTTAAATATTCGTCCAATTAATTCACTCCCATTGCATAACAATGATGTATATGTTCTAACAACAATTCATTTTCTATCCATAATCAACGGTGTTTCTCCTTCCTTCATCAATATATTGACACAAACCTGCAGTTACTGATGGCATGTGTAATTCACTGTTGTTTGTATCACATTAGTGTAATTCTAGGCATATGGAAACAGTAATAGTATCAATATTTCCGCACTAAGTTTGATTTAGGGTCCGTAGCACCTCTATTTGCACGCACTCATGTGTTGCCGTCACACACAGCTGTGACATTCTTTTATCTGTATACACATTCTATAAACGTTCATGACAAAATTACGT